AGCCCAAAATTCCCACGCTGTGTGCTCAGTGCCCCCTCTCACCTGGTGTCCTGCTGCTGGAGGATGTGCTTGACTGCCTGAGCCAGAGTGAAGGTTTTTCCTGTCCCATAGGGACCGATGATAAGAACAGGAGGCAGCTGGATGGAGAGGGGGGTGGTGATAGCCAGAACAGCCTCTTTCTGCTTCGCGTTCAGCCGGGGGTCCAACTGCTCATCCCATTGCCTGTGCAGAGAGCCCACCGAGGTTACAACAGCTCCCACCTTCCACTGGCAGCCACAACTAACCAGGGGTGATTTCAAAAGCTCAAGAGCCTTTACAGAGCTGCTGTGTGGATTGTGGGGCTGAGGCAAGTGAAACAAATCAACAAATCTAGCAAAATGATCACATGCTGTAATCATAAAAATTTGCTGTTTGTAATAAATCGGTTGTGGAGTGGGGTTTCAACCTATTCTCAATTCACATCATCCCACCTAACAACAGTTAACCTGCAGAGCACAAATTCTACAAAAAGGACACACTGCACCATTCTCTGATAACAAAAACAGGTAAACATACAATGATTTTTCTACTATTATCATGCAAATAATAGTTCCATTAGTTATGCTTTTTCCCTGCAGCATTTACACTGTTAACTTTAAAAGGAACCAGTTACACAACCCCAGGGCTTGGCAAAAGGTATCTAAAATCAAATTTTAAAACTACTGGCTACCAATTAATGACAGACTTCTCTTTACTTTTTTTTTTTTTAAGATCACCAGGGCAGATAACTCTAATGGGAAAGCAGTCTATAAAAAGGAATTTTGTTGTAAGCAGCCAGTGATGCCAGCACTGGGAGGAAGATGCTTTCAGAAAATTCCAATGAGCATAAGAAGTTAAAGATTTCTAGACAGAGTTTTTAATATTCCCACAGCCAGATTTAAAAGTAGACATGCATAGTAAAAAACACCTGTCACTGCTGCACATATGGCCATACTTTAGTAATGTGATCTGCTTTGGTACAAGCACCACGCTTCTCACAGACTGGGAAAGTTTCTGCTCAGAAGTCGTTAGCAACAGAGAGCAAGATCAAGAGGGAATTGACTGAATTTGAACTTTAAAGATGCCTATGAACAACAAGCTGGCAAGAGACTGAGAAACAGGAAAGGAACAGGGACATAAAGCAGACATAGAAGAAAAACAGGAAAGACAGTCTGGAGTTAGCTTGATTCTTAAGGAAGGACAAATCAAGTCACCAGATGGAACTGATTTCAACTGAACTATAATCATTACATATTTTATTTATGTATACAAAAAACATAAAACATTATACCAACGTGCAACTGCTATGTACATAGAAGATAAAAGTTCTATCCTACTTGACTTGACTCCTTTTTGAAATCACTGCTTACTTCCAAACTATTCTTAAGCACTATTTCCTTGTAAGATTCCCTCAGAAGCTAATTAAGTCAGTGAACAGATTGTCACTGACCTCCATTAGCTTTGCAGTGTAACTCTAAACAGAACCTATCCCTTCTTCCTCTCAGTGCTGTCAGAGCCCTGAAGCACACAGGGATCATCCCACCCAGAACACTGATCCCACCCTTGCACTGGACCTGTTCTTGCTTCAGAGACAAACTGCAATTTTTCCAGTGTTTTTTGCCATACAATACTCACTGTCTCAGCCTTCTGACAGACTGTTTTCCTCTCAATGCCTGGACTATCTCCTGACTTCTCCTGCATCACAACCACACTCCTAATTCTCACCTTCAGGACCCCACAGGACTCCTCCCAGGCTGTGCAGAATATCAACATTCCTCTCATTTCCCTGCTCTCCAGCACAGAAAGCTCATTCCTCTTCACCAAGAGCAAGAATACTGACCATATTCCCTGAGCCACACATTTCTCCTCCCTAAGCCTCCTCTTCCAGACAAACTATTTCCACTGCATCAGCCTTAAGTTTCTTTACAAGTATTTATATAACAGGGGTTTATTATTATTTATATAACACAGGGGTTTATAATTTCATAAAGGAAACTGTGAGATGTGTATAGAAAGAATCTCTGGGCTGCTTCTTTAGGAGCCATTGCCACACCTTCCATAACCACACCCTGTGGGATGTGTCCAGATCTGGGCTCCCTGCAGCTCAACAAGAACTGATGGATCAGCCCCTGGCACCAGGACTCTGCCCCCTGGGGACACTCCTGGAACTGGCACTGCCACTCCTATGAAGTACAATGTTTGCAGAGGAGGATGGCAGCACAGAAATCACCAGCAGCAGGTTTGTTCTCTGCACCCACAGTACAACTGTGATGCCTCCAAACCCAGGGAAAGCCCCTCAGTGTGTTCTGGCCCTGGAGGATCACTCCTCTTGTGTATTCAGCATTTTCCCTCCCTCCTCAGAACCCCTCAGCACTGATGAGGAGCACGGCTTGTTTCTGCTCAGGACAGATCTCAGCCATCTGCTCTGAGAAATCCAGAGCTGCATCCCCACCCAACCTTTGATTTCAAAGGGTCTGTGTACCTGTTGGGACTCCAGGGTATGGTGGGAGTCATGCTGACATCTGGAAACAAAATGCTGTTGTCCTTAATCCTGTCCAAGGCATAATGCATCTCACACAGGGGCAACCGGTTCAGCTGGAACTGGAGCTCAACCTGCACAAGAAACCAAGAAACAGAGAGGTGAACAAAAAGGATTCATTCAGAAAATGCTCATTAGACTCTGCTGTGCATGATACATTTTTATCTTCCTGCACACCACAGGCTCTCAGAAAAAAACAGCAAACAGCATTTAGTCCAAAGATCTGTGATAAAATTAACTTGGGTTTTTTTGTTGTTGTTTAGAATCAAAGATAAATACAGCATTTTCTCTAATTTAATTTTGTTGTTTGACTTTTAAGATTAGATTCCACTGTACTTTCAGAAAAAATTAAAGGCAAAGCATTCCTGGAAATTTTTTTAATACAAAAAAAAAAACCTGAAAAATATTATTGTCCTAAAACATTGTTTTTACAAATGTAAGCTTTCATCTCTTATTGTAAGAACAACCTCAAGAAAATGTCAGGCCAGAAATTTTACATATCAACGGATGATATAAATCAGCAAAGATAAACCCCAAACATTATTTCTAGTCAAACACACTGGAACAGCATCACTTGCATCTTTGCTCAATTATTAGGACTCTACAAAAGTTAATTTCTAACAATTAGCTGCTTACCAATACATTCTTGGTTTTGTTCTCTCAATTACAGGTGTTTCAATGCTAGTAAATAAAAATATTGCCAACATAAATTCTGGTGCAAAGCCAGAAGCATCACACAGAGCACTTAACATCCCTGATTCAATTCAGAATGGAACAATGGATACTGAAAGTAGGTGACACATACACACACTGAAAGGGTAAAGAGAAAAGCACATTCTAAATTTGAACAAGGGATAAAAGCAGCTCCTGGGGAAATTATTCATAAAAACAGTTCACTCAGATTATCATTTACACAGATTTAAATTTGCAGTAATTAATCTCTCCAGAAACAAATGAATCTGATCACAGTATTATGCCACAGAACTCCACGTTTACAACAGAAGCCTTTAGACAAAATTTGACACAGATCTGCACTAATAAAAACCTGCATAAACCTGCTGCTGAAGAACTCCAAGAGACTAATACACATTTTCAGGTTTATTTCCAAAGCACTGCTGTCCCTATATAGTTATGTAATTACTGTGCTACAAATCTAATAAGCATTTTTGATTAAACAGGAGTAAATAATTCTCTTTCTGAGATTTACAATGAGTGTGAACACATTACCAACAGCAGCCACATCACTGCAACCTGTCTGGAACAGCACCCCTCATTTACCTGGAAATATCAATTATTTAACAATTTCTGAGAGAGATTCCAGAACCAGCTGCCAGAAGCTGGTTCTGCCCAGGCAAACAGGAGATGAGAACAGAGCCAGAGCAAGGATGAGCTGAACCTGGTCCATCAGCAGCACCCCAGCTGAGGGTGCAGCCCCTGGGTCACCCCAGAGAAAAGCCATGGAGGTTTCAGCCATTCCAATGTGCCCCCATGCCCACAGCAACAACCTGGCCTCAGATCTGTTGATTTTCTCCTCTAGCACTCACTGATCTGATGTTGGCCCATTCTTACTCGATCACACTTAAATCTCATGGTAATTACTGCTACCAACCAGAAAGTTCAACAAACATAAAGCAATACCAGAATATATTTTTACAATTATCTTTTTTGACAACTTAGATAAAAACTTTAAGTCCTTGACAGTTAAAAGAAGGACAGAAGGAAGGAAAAGAAAAATGATCACTTCTCTTTCAAAGCCATATAAACACCTCTCAGGGACCTCCTCCTACAGAGGAGAATTCCCCACACAGAGGAATCATTTATCCTTCTGGATTTAACTACTTGTTGTACCTGTACTCCTTTATCTGCCCACCACAGGGATCACTCTGCTGTACCAGTAATGTTTACTACTTGCAGATCATCTCCTTCAAAAGGCTTTGTAAATTAGCATTTTCTTTTTTGTACTCTTATTTCAGCATTACAGCATTCATATCATTATGTAGCATGTAAAATCAACACTAGCTTTGCTGTAAATAAACAATGTTTGCTTGTATCCCTGCAGAGTGCAGCCATTAACTTTCCATCTCTGGCAGATATAGAGACATTAAATATTCATCTTGACTGCCACATTTTACAGCAAGATGTACAACCATAAGTCTGAAGACAAGGGCAGCAACAAATCTGACAGCGTTAAGCACGGAGCTCACAGAGGTGTTTGGAGCTGCTAAGAAAACTTTTTATTAAAATGAAAATTCAAGAATTCTTTTTCCACCCTGTGCAATTTGTGCCACCCAGCCCCGTTCTGCACACAGGGCTGGCAGTTCTCAGCAGGGACAGCAGAGCTCATCCTGCCCATGGGCACCTGGAGCTGCTCCCCAGCTCTGCCCTGCCCTGATTTGTCCCCAAGCACAACCTGCAGGTGTGTGGCAAGGATTGTCACTCAAATGGCAATGCTCCCAAACTCCTGGTTTGATCCATCCAAGGAAAAAATCCTTGCCCAGGCAGCCCCAAGGCTGACAGAAAGCCACACAACCTAACAAGGGTAATTTAAATGCAGAAAAGCTGGGATGCTCATCTGGGTGACACTTTAACAGCCCCTTCTGGGAGTCCAAGCCAGGTGCCTGCATTAAACACCTCCCATTATCTACCTGCATTCACCACTTCCTTAACAGCTTGGGATTTGTTTTGTTTGAATGCTGCTGGGATGGAATCAAATAGTTTTATTTGCTGTTGCAGAGTAGTGAATGAGGCCACCTGGGAAGGAGAGGATGTAACCTGCTTTAATACAAATTCCACAATCAGAAAACAGTGGGAAAGGAAGTTACTCCATTGCCAGGTTCACAGAGCAGGACAGAGAACAGAGGAACCACTCCAAAAATAAAAGAGTGGCAGCAGCCACGGTGCTTTAAAATTCACTCCACCCCACCTTTATCAATGGTTTACCTGATAAAAGCAGAATTGTGTATTTATTACAGTTAAGGCAGAACAGCAGGTAAACAAGGCACCACCAAGTTTCTGAGAGTAATTACAAGGAAAAGAAAAAGGAAAGAAACTACCCAACTTATCCAAAATCCACAGAAATCAAAGCACTTTTATCAGTGCTTAAGAATCACACAGGGAATATCAACTCTACTGAAGAGAGCAGCAGAACCTCCAGCAACTTTAACAGAAACTCTGCACATCCAAATTACAACCTCCCCAATTCTAACCTGAGGATTGCTTTCCAAAATTTCAGTTAATAATAATCATAAAAAATTCCTCATAATTTAAATTCATTTAAAGATAGGTAATGCTTAAAGAATCTGATCACCAATTCAGTGATACACATATAAAGTACTAAATTATTTTACAAACAACTTTAGGACCCAATTTCTAATGCAGAATAGATCTGCTGCCTTGGGCCAAGATTATTAAGACACTAAAGGAAAAATTAGCCAGCTCCTGAAGCCCCAGCTCATTCTGCATTCCAGTCAAGTTTCAAATACAATCAATTAGTAAGTTTAATTATTGTTTTAAGAAAACAAACACAAAACCAAGAGCTCAGAATGACATAAATCTTCCCAGACCAATTATCCATGTTAAATTAAGACATTAAGATTCTTGCATATGTTTCCCCCGAAACAAAACAAACAGGATGAGATAAACCTTGGGTGAAAACACATTCATTCCAGGCAATTCCAGTGACCTCAATCTGAGGTTATTTCTGTTTGGTAAGCACATCAGTCAAGGAGGCAAAACAAACAGAAGGCAAAGAGTTGTGACAGCACAACCACCTCCAGGCAGACCTACCTGCATTTCACAATCTGCCCGAAGATTCAGCTCCTCACAGCATTCCCTGGAGACCCTCAAGAAGATATAATCCTTTGTTTTCTCCTCAATAGCTGCTTCATAAACCTTCTCTTTGGTTCCTTGGGTCTGGGCTGACTTTTCTTTAGTGACAGGCAATAAATAAACAGCATTGACTTTGGTCATCACCAGCCGTCCAGCCAAAGTGTCTTCAGAGAGGGTCTCAGTGAGCTTAAAGCGGCCAAAAAGTTGTCCATTTTGGGCATATTTTGCACCTCCAGAAACACCAGTGAGCATGAAGCTTGCTACAATCTGCAATTGCACTTTTATGTTGAACCTAAGTGAGAAAGCATCGAGTCAGTGCACAGAAACGCTCTCAGATTCTGAAATTTCAGGCGTTCAGAGTGAGGATTCACCTCATTAATTAATTTTTAAGTATGAACAAGTACAGTCAAACTGGCCCTTTGTAAGTATGCAGCTATCAAATATCCACACTTTTTCTCTTGTAGCTTATGAACATATTTAAAAGAATCAACATCTATGAAGTTTAAAAAAAAGAACCCTCACAAGACACAAATACCAGATACCAATAAAAGCTTAGAGTGAATGAAATACATGACCCAAAGCAGTAAAATTTCTATTTAAACAGTCTGCAATCTTATGGTAGGTATGCAGGGGGAGACAAGCAGGGAAAGATTCCTCTTTATCCCATGTGCCTCTTCCAGGCTGCACACCAAAGGGCAATCTCCATCCTTAAAAGTAAATGGTATTATACCTATAATTCAGAGGGATTGATCAAAATGCCTTCAAACAAATCAGATTGTAGGCATTAAAATGATATCATTTTATTTGAAATGAGGGAATGGAACACAGGCTCAGCCCTATAAACCATCTATCCACAGAATTCCCATCAGCAGCAGCTTCCTCCTGTAATCAGAGATGTAACAAATTCATCCCTTGCAGTTATCATTTTCCAGAAGTCACATGCACAACACATTAAAGTGACTTATTAGCACACTTTATTGACCTCTCACCAATAAAAAGTAATCTCTTCCTAGTGTGTTGGGGCTTTTAAAACAGATTGCTTCAACCTGGTTTTAAAAAGAACAAAGGTGAAAAAAGTCTGATAGCAGAGTAACAATATTCTGTTCTTTTCTCACCAGCAACTTTTTCCTAAATTTGCAACAAATTACAGAAAAAAAGTAAAACCCATTCAAATGAATTAAAACCTCTTGGAAAAATACATTATTTTCTTATAATACTTTTCATACTTAGACTAGTTTGATTTCATCTGTTCTTCTTATAATTTCTATGTTAACCTAACAAACTGGTAATTGCTCATTTAAGCCCTGCAGTATCAATAATCATAAGGCTCTAACAATAAAATCCAACATTTTAGCTTGGTAATTAAACATCTACCAAACCAATCAGATGTATTTTTTCAGATCTGCCAAGCCACGAATCTTGCACAAAAACTGCAAGTTTGCCCCCATGTGGCAACAGCTCCTTCTTTACAGAACATGGGCATTGTCAGATCTGAATTTCCCAGTCCTCCACGCTCCAAAAACGAGGGAAATTTTCTCACCTAACATGGATCTGTTTGGTTATCACTGACCACAGAGGTTACTGCACAAGCCACAGTGAAAAATTCACCCAATCCCTCCCATTTCCACAAATTCCAATAAAAACCCCAGAACAAAAAGACAAATTCTCTTCTATTGACGTGCTGCACTATTCCAAAGCAGCTATCAACAAGTCAGCCACATGTGAAACACAACTCCCAGCTCCTTGTTAAAACACTATAAAAAACATTTCACTGAGTAACAAGGGCTGGGAATTCTTAGTGAGATACAATCATTTGCTATTGTGAATTTATTTTGTTGAAACTTCCCTAAAGTTGATCCCTTTGCTGCTGAATATGTATCAGCTGAAATTCAGATTCACAAAAACGTGCTGCAAAACGGTTTCATTGCATTTCTGAGACAAGGCACAGGTTAGTGTTTTCATAAATGACTGAACTGCATCTGCTGTGCTAAAGGGAATCTCAAGTTTAGATTATCAAGCAATTTCCATTGAGCAAGCTGACACCTTCTGGCAAACTACAAAACTACAAAATCCTCTTAGGATTTGATTTTTTAAAAATCAGAATATCTTCTTTCATCCATTTCTCACCCTTGTTTTGCAGGGTTAGACAAAATAAGCTTTTCAGACAGGTTTATAAAAAAAAAAATCAAAAACTTTATTTCCTCCTAAGCACTGCAAATGCCAGCCTACCTGCAGTGTTCGTGAAGCAGCCACACGAAAACCTGTTGTTCACATTTAAAACCACAGAATAATTATGAAGAATGACTTCATAAATCATTAATCACCCAGTGCCAATGCAAACAATAAATTCCCCAGAGGCAAACAAACCCATCCTGGCCACAGCCCCAGGTGCCACTGTGCAAAAGCACATTCAGCACATTTGCTGTGACACCTGCAGGGCCCAGGGTGTGCAGTGGGACAAACTGGGGAGGGACCAGTGCAACACACAGCAACAACAAAAGCCAATTTATTTTCATCAGAGCCAGTACTTGACGTGTTCACAGCCTTGAGGAGAAATCTGCTCTGAAATTCTGGGAGCAGGGAAGGAGCTGTCTCTCACCTCACACCCTTCAATGTTCATACAAGAAAATGTTCTAGTCACTCTGAGAAGCATATATTGTTTTTCTTTCAATATGCAAGAGAAAGGAAAAGTTTTAAAACCATGAACAGATATTTAGACTCTCCAAAACTCAACTACTATCAAGACTGGAACATTGTTTTGGTTTTCCTCAAAAATGGTGTGTTTGCACTTGGAAATTCAACAGCAGTGACTCTCTTATTATTCTCTTTTGTGATACTCATGTGGAATAACTTGTATAAATAAACACAATTTTAAAGTAAAGTTCTCTGAGACTGTCCAGAACTCCCTTATAACTGAATTCAAGATATGACTGAGCCACTGCAACTTTCACCCAACACTGTCCAGTTCCACCCAGGTGATTCCACACCAAGTCTGAGCCAGCACCTTCCTAAAAGTGAGAAACCATCAACCTTCTCCAAAGCCAAGGACCCACTGCACTCTGGCACTGGTGTTACCCCAGGGCTGTCAGCAGAGCAGGCTGCCAATCCTCCTCCTGTTACAATGCACATTCACAAAGCCCTGAAAGTGCAACAGCTCATCACCACTGTCACTGTGGCACCACTTCAGAGCTGTTACAACCCACTTGCATCTGGATTTCTGAGCCATTTCCAGGCTTCCAACCCTGACACCTCACTAGAGAATACCAAGTGTGTGATCTCAGCCACAGAGGAGTGGAAATGTCTGCTGGTTTCAGCCTCCTTGCAATAAAGTGGGTCAGCTACAAGATCAAAAGAATGTTTGTCATCAACACTATCAAAACAGAAGATTTCAAGAACATATTAACTTACTTTTAACTTAATCAAGCAATAAATTACTGCTGCACCAAATAGTCAAAAGGGAAAGCACTGCATGCAGGATACATTTATTTATCTTTCATTTCTCCAGGTTTGCTACTCTTTGGTTTCCTATGAGGCATGAGAGTGTAACTCCCAAGGCGAAAATTCTATCAGTAAAAATACTGCTCCATGTTTTAATGGTATTTCATAATATTTACTTTAAATCCACTTTTATTTCAAAAGGCCTAAGAGCCAACCTGTTTATAAATGTGTATGATGGAGAACATTTCTGTAAGCTGGAAACAGTGTTCAAGCACGATTGCTCCATGTGTTAGGCTCCAGCTCAAGAGCAGAGTGCAGCAGTGATAAAAGATAGGAAACAGCTCAAATACTGCCCTTCAGCTGAGATTTAAAAAAGAAATTGAACCATTTTTCTGCTTTAAAAGCAATAGAAATACAACTATTCACAGTATTTTCTTTCTGTGTTCTAGGGGGTGGTTCAACTGAACCTCTCTAGCTCCAGGAATGGTTCTTCATCTTAAAAAAGACTTCCTGATTTGGAACTTCAAGTAATTAATAAAACTAAATTTGCTGCCAAATTAGGCTACAATGATGTTGTATCTTTTAGACTTTCCACTCTCAGTAGTGACAAAACTCTAAAACTCTTTAGCACTCCATGAATACAGGAAAGATTTTTGACCATAAATATTAAAGTACAGGAAAAAGTCCACATGAAGGTCTGTAAGTGTGAATTTCACATCTTTTACCTAAATCCACATTTTTCAAGCATCTACACGAGTTGGGTAATTTGTACCTAATACCTAAAGACACAACAAACCAAACAATGTATATTACATGCCTTTTATTAGGAACTTTTATTCAGAAACTGGGTATCAACCTATTTAGGAAATAAATAAAGTCAGCTGCCACATCATCACAAGATCAGTCTGATCCACCCACAATTCAACTCTTTTTACAACGATTTTATCTATTCCTTTGCTATAACCTACTTTCCCACAGAACAAAAATATAACTATGATTAATATATGTTTGTATAGACAAACAAAATTAATTAACAAAACCACATCCAACAGCTGCTTAGTGCCTGCAACTGTAAGCACAGACTGATACAAACTCTTTGTTTTCAATGAATTAGCAGGAATTTACATTTAAGTGCTGGTGACCTTTTCCAAATATTATTGTTCCAGACTCATTCAGGTTCAGTTAAAAGAAACAGGAAACCTCAGTATCTTAAATAATAATAATAATAGTAATAGTAATAGTAATAGTAATAGTAATAATAATAATAATAATAATAATAATAATAATAATAATAATAATAATAATAATAATAATAAATATTTATTTTATACTTATTTATATAAATATAAATATTTATTTAAATAACTGAATATAAATATTTATGTATTTATATAAAATATAAATATATAAATATATAAATATATTTATAAAAATATAGATATTTATATTATATTTATTTATTATTTATTTTATTATTGTTATTTATATTTATAAATATTTATATTTCATTATTAATTTTATTATATATTTATTATTTAATTTATTTCTTATATTATTTATTTTATATTTAAATATTAAATAATTAATTAAATAAATTTAATTATTTGTTTAGTAAAAATAAAAATAAAAATAAAAATAAAAATAAAAATAAGAATTATAAAATCTTAATGAAAAAAGCTGTCACCTTGATTTTAATAGGAATATTTTCATAAAGGAATCACTTACTTGCTAACTTCCTTATACTGTGCAATCTCCTCGATGTACAGGAGGTCATGGAGCCGGGACTGATAGTTGCTCTTGGTCAGTGATTTGTCCAGGACAGATTGTGTGAACAGCTGGTCGGCAGACAGAGGGATTTGGTATCTGGTCAGAAGGCTCCTCTCCAGCTCAGTGGTTTCATTGGGCTCAAACTCCACAATGGTCTTGGAGGTGGAATCCCAGCGCTTGGCCGTGGTCAGGAGCTGCTGCCGCGCGTGCATCAGGTACTCGAGGTCTGCATGGACACAGCAGGGAAGGGGAGCTTTGGTTTCACCAAAAACTGGCTTGGTTTTATTCACAAAAATAAACCAATCAAACAAAACCCACCAGCAAAACCAATCCCCTCAGAGATACCTCAGAGATCCCCTCAGAGATACCTCAGAGATCCCCTCAGAGATCCCCTCAGAGATACCTCAGAGATACCCTCAGAGATCCCCTCAGAGATACCTCAGAGATCCCCTCAGAGATACCTCAGAGATCCCCTCAGAGATACCTCAGAGATCCCCTCAGAGATACCTCAGAGATCCCCTCAGAGATACCCTCAGAGATCTCCTCAGAGATACCTCAGAGATCCCCTCAGAGATCCCCTCAGAGTCTCCTCTGCCCACAACACCTTCAGGAAGTTCTCTGCTGGTATTTACTATTCTGCTTTTCAGGTGTGCACATAGAACAAGCAGGCTCTCCAAGAGTACCAGAAAATAAATCATTCTATACATATCAGTCAGTATCAATAAATACAAAAAAGCACTTTTACTTGAACAGCTTTGAAGGACTTGGCACTGCAATAAACTTTAAAACCCAACTGCAACATCCCCTCATTTCAAACTCATTAAATAGTGTGGAACCCCACAATGGATATTACAAAATTTAGGTGGTCATAAAAACAATGATAAAGTTGATAAATAAAAAAAAATTTATAAAGTTGATAAATCAGCTGGTAAGGAATCATTGCATTTGCAACACTGTGAAAGCCTTCTAAAAAGTTCTACAGCCCTCTAATCTGTGTGTGGTGCAGTTACATAAAATAGCTAAAGATACTTTACTAAGAAAACTTAGGAAATGTAACCTAACATGATCTAAAATTAGAAAATTCAAAGGAAATTAATTTTTCATCTTTTTCCTTTCAAAGGAAACTGATTTTTCAGCTACTATTAATTTCAGGGACCACATAACTTAGATAAGAAACAGAAAACCAAGCACTTGTCTACAGCCCCCTAGAATATATCCATTAAAACCACAAAACCACTATGACAACAGTGAATCAGTTAACAGAATTGCAGTTAAATTGCAGAGCTGAAAATATTTGGCATTTATAGTCAAGCTATGCTATCTTAATGTATAATCTCTGAGTAAGATTTAACATAGGTATCCAGGATATCACACCAACGCTGAAAATGTGCAAAAAAGACATTTTCAAATTCAAATTAAATGCTTAACATCATCTTGACTGTCTTTAGTCTAAATAAGAAAAAAACCCAACATTTTAGCAAAAGAAATCTCGTTCAGCTTGACTGACTACAAGAACATGGCTTATCTTACTGATCTCATGTGTTCACTAAGAAGACACATTTAAATATATCCCTCAAGCCTGAACCATAGCAGTAGCTACAGTTGTACAGCAAAGAAAAAGTCCAAGTTTGTGTGGTTTGTGTGTCTGAAATAACATCACCATAAGTGAAGCTTTCCCTGCCACAAATCACACCTCAGATCCCAAAAGCTCAGTGATTGTGCTGGGAATGACTCCTTGCTTGCTGGAACAGCCACTCAATTCCCAGCCCTGGAGAGGCTTTCCCTGGCAGCACACCCTGCACACACAGGGACACTTCCTCAAAGAGCAGTTCGTGCATCATCAGTGCACAGAAACCTTCCCACAGCTCCCTGCCTCTGCTGGAAATAAAGATTTCTACATGCAGAATGGAGGCTCTTCTATTAAAATATTTTAATGTTGACCTTTCATTCCTGCCTAAACATCTCAACAGGGCCCTGAATTACACACAAACACAGAGACCTCAGGCATCTTTTGTTAGAAAAGCATTTCCACAAGATGTCAATTCATATATTCATATAAATATTTCTTTTACTTTTTATATATTCATATATATAAAAAGTAAAAGAAATGATGGAATTGGACACAGATTCAATGTAGCAATCCCCTTCCTCGGCCTATTACACACACAGCAAAAAGCCCAAGATTCTGTAGTTACAATTATCTGTAAAGCTCTTAAGACTCTTTCCATTTGAAATAAGTATTAGTGGTTGTGAAAAACACCAATCACTTGTTTTTAAAATTTTAAAAGTTTAATAGTAATAAAATGGTTATGAAAATAGTAATACAATTAGAGTAATAATAATTTGGACAATTTGAATTAGGACAATATGAGACAATAAAGACAAAAGAGTTACGGACGTCCAGGTACCTTT